TTATTTTTCTTAATCGATTCATCTCAAAATTTTAAAAAAAATATCAAAATTAATCAAATTCAATCAATTTCTATTGATATTTCAATCGATTTGAATTGATTAATATGGATTATTAACTAAAACTATTACATTTTATATTCACGTAGCTTTTTCATTGAGTTTTATTTATTTATATTTGTAGTTTAGAGTTGTATTTATTGATTTCAATTTGGGTTGAGGGAAAGATTGGTGGTCCTCCTCCTCTTAATGGTTTCTTGTTTTGGCTTAAAGTTCACGTCATAATTATATGGAAACTTTGGTTTAAAATTAAACATAGGATAGTTAATTATTAAATTTTAAATTTTTGGAGATAAATTTATTTTACCTAAATTCACAATTTTTTTTTGTAATTTATCCTTAAAAATACCATAAAAATTACTACATAAAAGTCTTCTCATTAAATGGTTAAATACCTTTAAAATGTTGTTAAGAGTAATACTCCATTTGAAAATGGATTTTTTTTTTTTGAAAGGCTTGAAAATGGATTATTCATTCACAGTGATCATAATTATTGTAAAAATATATATATAAATAAAATAAAACAATTATAATTAAATACATAGACCTATGGTTTTGGCAAGCATTACAGCTATAATTATATACTAGTACTAGTAACTTAAACCAAACACCATCATCATTAATCAATTATTCTTACAATTGGGTAAATTCTTGGGTGCTACATATCATGGTAGGCCAACAAAACATTTCATTACTCTTAATTTTTTTTTTTTGGTTTAGTGTAAGATTCAGACAAAATCCTTAACAGCATGTCTTTGTAATGATGACTGTCCTCTAATTTTAAGGTTTAAACGAGGACTTAAAGCAAAAAATTAGACTAGTTAATTAATTCCACAAGCTTAAGCGTGAAGCCCCTCCCTCTCTCTGTCTGCGAAGGTAAGGGTCCTTTTAGCAGCAGGTTGATTGTTGAGCAGACGAAACAAAATGTGGGACCCTGGAAAACAGTGCCCCACTGTTTATGGTCCCCATTAATTAAATATAAAATAAAATTAATTAAGGAGCAAGTAAGTAGTTTAAATATAAATAAAAATAAATAAATAAATATATATATATATATATTATATTCATACGTGTAGGTGTAATGTAGTACGTGGAATGAGAATGGAAACTGGAAAGGTTTTCGATTTTTTCGCCGTTTGGAGCCCACGAAGACGAAACGGTGGGCCGCGGAGATGGATATCACATCTCTTTATCTTGGAAACGAGAGTACAAAATTTGAGGATTGATTTGATTTAAAAGCCTGATTACAAGGACATTTAACTGCGATGGTCCCACCCTTAGCTAAAGGAAGCAAACCCACCCATCGCTTGGAGGATGATTCCATGTGATTTTGCTATGTATAACTCATGTACTTGATCCCACTACGTGTAACAATGAAGCAAGCGAGCAGGTTGTTTTAAGTTTTCTCTCTTGGCTCCCTCTTTTTCAATTCAGTGATTTAGTATGAAATTAATGATACGAGTCATATATTTTGCAGTAACAATAGTAATAAAATTTTTACATTAAAAATTTTATAAAATTAATTATAAAACTTAATATTATTATACAAGAAGTATTGTAGCAAGAATCATCATAATCACTTACACGTGTGAATATATAAAGAAAATTACTAAAATATCTTGATTTATACTTAACGTTATAGATTATTTGTTTATAATGTCTCTTGGTTTCAATACCGATCATGTTTATCAATATATAAATATTTTTAATATGATACAAGAATAATATAAATTTTGATAAAAAAATTATAAATACATATTGTATTTATATAAATAATAATATTTTATCTAAGTAATTATGACTGCTTTGGAATTGTTAAAATCCGAGTAAAGAAGTTAGTTCAATTTGGTGAAGCAGCGGGGGGCGAGGGCCTCATGCCTGATTCCTTGGTTTGGCCTTGCTTTATGGTAAAGCCTTTTCAAGACGCCGGTGATTCCTCATGGAGATTTGGCCCTTTGCAATCTGATTTTTATTCCATAAAAGAGTTACTGTTATGCATGTTTGGTCCACTTAGCATGGAATTGGAAACTCTAAATACTACGCCAACTTCACACGGCCAGGCCAGTCACAAAAAACATGTTAACAAAGTCTAAAAGTTTATAATAAGTCGCACACCACTAGATAGACAAACTTGGAATAATTGCAACTGGTGTAGGTGTAGCTCTAAGCTGTATCTCTAGCTCTAGCTCTAGCTCTACTCCGTGAACCAAATTTGTCCACAATTATCTAGCTTGAAGAGGGGTAAAATAGGAGTAATACCAACATTCATGTTGCTTGGAGAATACTTTGCTGGGTCCACCATTTCCTCGTTAAATTTCATTTTCTGCTACGTTAGTATAGCTTCCATCATAGCTAAAGAGAAAATAGTACAATATGCATCGTTATTTATTTAATTACTAGAATATCTTATCAATTTTTTTCAATTAACACACTGTGAATATCATTTTCTCGATTAATACCCTGCGAATAAAGTGCTCTGATGGGACTGGAAGTGGAGGGCTTGAATAACTCTTATCTTAGAATTGAGGTGCAAGATGTGGATGTATAATAATGTAATCTTTGCTTTAAAGCTTCGGTTGATGTGGTGGGAACTAGGAAGCTTTCGGTTTCAGCTGATGCAGAGTATCAGAATAGCACTCAGGTCTCCTCAGCGGCAATCAAAAACAGGTTTCCAACTTTCCATGTTCCCAGCATTAATCTCAGCACAACAACTGTCCGATGCAGGCCGAAAAAACACAAAAGAAAAGAAAAAAACAAGAAAAAGAATGGGCTGCAGTGGAAGTCCTCCTCTTATGCAAATATTATAACTTTGGGGTCAACTCATTCTTCACATGCTAAGCAAAGTCTGTCTCATGAGTTTGTTAATTGCCGGCTGTAATGCTGATTGCTGATGGTGTTGTGGTGGATGGTGTTGCAGGAAATTATCTTTCATTTTAATGGTGATGTGGGGTCTCTTTTTCCATCATATTCTCTTAGTCGTAAAGACAGTTTTTTGTCATCAACATAGGATGATAAAGTATAGAGAAATTGACACTTAATTTTCTAACATATTTTACTAATTCAATTTAAGTTCGTTAGATTTCAAAATAAACATTTTATCTGTCTGAATAGTAAATAACGTTAAAACTATTAAAAAATTACTGAAAAAAGTTTAAAAAAAAAAAGAGAGTTAAAGAAGAGAGTAGTAACCTTTTAAGATGATAAGATCATTTGTGCGAAGCAAGGTGATGAATTTCAGAATTCCATGTTTGAATGATTGATTGCTATGGAACCATGTTTTTCAACAAAGTGAAATGCTACTGAGCTTCACCTTTTGGAGTAATGGTCCAAGAAGCATAGATGGTTGTTCTCTGTTCAAGAATTCTTGTTTAGGCAATTCATATTATGCATACATAGTGTTTTGATTTAAGATTTCAATTCTTCCATGTTTCAGCAGTAGCATATTGTTTTATGGAGTTAAGGTTCAAAATATGAAAGAAATAAGTGTTTTCACAACTCTACCACCCAATCAATTTCGTTCCACTTAATCCCTATTTCATGGCCACTTATCTTTCCGGTTAAGTAATGGGAAACTTTTTTCAATTTTCATTTCATATGAGAAAAGCTATTTTTTTTTTAACAATGTCTTTGTCATTTGATCCAATAGCCTTCCGTTAGATAAAAACAGATTTAATAAATACTGATAGCCATCGGATGGAGTATTAAAACAAAAAAATCTATTAGATAATAAACTATTGGTTCTAAGTCATCTCTGGCGAGGAATCAAATTGGGGCTCTTGGCTTGGACTCAGCCTTTTACACTAACAAAGATGGGCCTTGCTCCAAACCCCTGGTTCAGCTGGGAGAAACCATGTCGGCAGATTCTATCCTGCTGGCCAACAAAGCATAGCAACAGGAAAGAGGAGAAAGAAGAATATCCCTTTGCATCCAACCTTTTCGATTTGCTCCTCTTCCTTTTCCTTGAATAATTATCTTTATCAGAGTGGGTGAGTGAGGACAATGTCGGCATTAAATTTCACAAATGTTGCATTGGAAATGGCCGTTTGTCTGAAAATGAAAATGATGTGATGGATTGAGCACCATCAAACTCAAGAGTCAGTGCCAAAAGGGCGAAAAGCTATCCATCAAGAGATAAAACAAGTAATTAAAACAACACTTGGCTTAGTTAAGATTAAGATCAAGATCATTTCAATTTCTTATGCAAAAGGATTTGTAAATTATTCTGCTGTGCCATATTTTTATAACTTTAATTGTGTTCAATCATACAAAACTTTGAAAAGAAAAATGAGAAAAGACAGAGGCCCAATGGGAAGCCTTTAGCACCAATAGAAAACGAAGTGTCAACATGGCATTGACATGTCCACTAATGATCCGTACTACTGTAATGATGCATATGTACATTATAATGAAGATTAGTTATTGGTAATCTTTTTCACTAGACTGATGATTAAGTAACAGATATATGATAAATGAAATGAGAGTTCGAATATTATATATACTGAACATTCTTCTTATAAATATCAAATTAGACATTTTGAAGTAGAGAAACTACATAAGATATGATCCTTTTCTTGAATTATAGTCTTTAGTTTTCTTATAAAGCAAGTAGTTCACAACAAAACGACAGGTGAATCAGAGAGGAACAATGGTAGTTCCTTTCTTCCTTAGTTTTGGCTGCATATACATACACAATTTCTCCTGTTATTTACTACTAGTATTTGGTTTTGGTATGAGAAGAGAGTAGGTAGTGTAACTTATATCAAAAACCTTGATTCAACTCAAATGAATCTCTACCAACTCCCGGTATTTGAGTTAAATCTATGAGAAGATTATATGATGGATGCAGCCAACTGTGCGACCACCCTTGTCTTTGGTTTTTCAGTATATTTATTGCAACCTGCAATTAGAAAATAAAGGAGTCCTTCCCTCATTTAAATTCTCTGTCGAGAACATGATTGAGTGGACCATTCCTATCTCGAAAGGATCAGTGTTTTCCTCCAGGAAATCTTGTGGAACTCATAAGGATAGGGTGGCACAGGTCTTACCCTTGGCATTTTGGAACAATGTTGTACACAAACACGCTCATTGGCTGCTCATAATTAGTAAACAGTAATTAATCATACAGATTCCATGTTCTTTTTACTGAATTTTGATGCTTAGGTTGGAGGGCAGAGGCTCCCATCTATCTGCAGAAAGAAAATGCACAACTAGCAATATCTAGACGCCAGGCATTCATCTTGGTAAGTTCTTAATCCAGTAGTCTGCTTGCTTAGCTCCTTCCTATCCCACCTGATACAGGCATAAGGACTTCACATGGCCAAATTGCCTTCCACATCTTCAGGCTAAGATAAAAATTGCAATTTTATATAATTTGCTGCTTTGTTGAAACTTTATCTGGTCCCTGCCATATTTCAAGATTCCATTCTGCTCAGTGTTTCAAACTCTGTTTTTTTTTTTTTTTTGCTCTTCCCATTTTCTTTTAGGATAAACATGAACTGTTGGATGCAGGGGTATGCCATTAGCTAATATCAAATTTGGTTTGGACCAATGGTCTCTTTGATGCCTCTAACCGATGGCTTCCACTATTGATAAAATAATCATCAAAATCAGTCCTGATAACAAGCTTAAAATGAAAATTGATGTCAGTAAGCAGTCTCGGGAACTAATAATGCAGCTTCTTAGTACCTCCAACACAAGACAGGTAACTGGATTAACCTGTTCTGTTTTGATTTATTTGAGCCTACAATGTTGTTAAACTATTCAGAAAACCCAATGATTCTTCTCTGTAATATGAAATGAAAAACTAAAGAAAGAATAGCTTAGACCCCAACATTTCAGGTCTTCTATTGTTATTTCTTTGACCAACTTGATATGCAGGTTCCTTGTTTATTCACCAAAATCTTTCTCATTCGATATGGTACGAGAACACATATATTCCTTCTCAAGCTAGCCAGTCTGGCTTACCGTCTCCAGAAGATGGGCAGATATATTGTTTACCTAACCAATGACCTGTCTGATTTAAGTGCATAAAAAAAATGTTTTCTGCAGGCCAATGGAGTCCAAACAAAGAGGAGAAGATTGGCCAGTTGAACCTGAAACACCCCAGATTTGGTCATAAACTTGAGGCCTCTTCTTTTGTTGTGGCAGCCACTTCAAAAAATAATAAAAAACAAGTCCAAGCTGGATCGATGTATCAGTAGCTAGCTAACATTGCATTGTCCTGTTGATGCAAAATTTTTATAATGGGTAGAAGTAAAATAAATTGCAGGTTTGTTTTTTTGCCATTTCTGCTTACCAGTTCAATAACCAAGAAATAATCAACTGCAGCTTGTTAATGCCCCTTTGCCTAGGCTGAGACTTGCTCCTTTTTAATTACTAGTGCTACTATTTTACATATTTGGGGGTTTGACTTAGATTCAAACGCATTCACCAAATAAAAAGCAGCAGCCATGTTCAACTTGGTTTTAATTTTTGTTAGTAAACTTTTGGTCCTTGATGATCATATGGGTTGAAATGTAGAGGTTTGACCATATGGCTAGCCATGGTCCCAAACTAGGGAAAGGTTGGAAAAGCTTTCTTTTTCCTTTTGGCGAAACTGTGTGTGGAAAACAGGCATTTAAGGGTAGTGATTAGGCAAAGTAATGGTAACTGAAGATTCTTAATTCATTTCTTTTCAGCAAGCAAAACAAACAAAAGAAATTTTGATAACTGAAGGTGGAGTAGTATGCTTTTGAGAAGGTTTTCCGGGAGTGGTTGATGAGTAAAATGATGGGTGAAAGGAGGACAGATGGGAGGCATGCGGTATACCATTATACTAACTGATTACCTATTACATTGAAGAAATTTTGTCCTGGACAGGCAAATAAGGTTTAGGAAGTTGCCTTGAAAAGTCTCCTAATAGAGAACAGCTCATCCATGAAATTCCACCACTAACCCTTTCATTCCTCTGCCTATAAATCTCTTCATTTTCTCCTTCCAAACAAGAAACAACAATTTATTCTATTCTCTCTCTCTCTCTCTCTCTCTCTCACTCACTCTCTCACACACAGACAGTTTGTTCTCTGCATTTCAGTTCTTGCTTCAGAGTATAAACCATGCCTGCTCAAGTGATGCCCGAGAAAACCATTCAAAGCCTCCATGGCTTGGGAACAGAAAACAATTCTCATCCTAAAAGGTATAGGCGGCTCTTCACATTTCCACATTTTCCTGCTGCACCTGCACTACTTCTCTTTTATTATCAACACTAGGCACTGAATCCGCAGAAAAGGCTGCAAACAAGGAAAACGTATATCATGCGCTTGGCTGTAATAGACAAAATCATAATGCATTCACTTTCATCTATTCCTGCTCAACCTTTCTTGGGAAGAGAATTCAGGGACAGCGAGTTAGCTAACATGCACATATACCAAAACCTTAAATCATCTGTTTATCCCATTTTTATCAGTTACACATCACATGCATTTCTTGTAATATTGGAATACACAAGAGAAATCGATCGACTGAACTTTTGTGTTGTAATTATACAGGTTGGAGGGGAAAATTGCAATTGTGACAGGAGGAGCTAGAGGGATTGGAGAGGCAACAGTGAGGCTTTTTGCTAGACATGGTGCCAAAGTAGTCATTGCAGATTTGGAGGACACGCTTGGAGCAGCGCTTGCTAATTCCTTATCTCCTTCAGTCACTTTTGTTCATTGCGATGTTAGCCGGGAAGAAGACATTGAAAACTTAATAAATTCAACGATTTCCCGCTATGGGCGGCTCGATATCCTGTTTAACAATGCTGGGGTACTTGGGAATCAGAAAAAGCACAAGAGCATTGTCGATTTTGACATCGATGAGTTCGATAACGTCATGCGAGTGAATGTGAGAGGAATGGCACTGGGAATCAAGCATGCGGCACGTGCAATGATTCCCAGGGGTGGTGGGTGCATCATTTCCACAGCTAGTGTGGCCGGAGTCATGGGAGGCCTTGGTCCACATGCTTACACTGCTTCCAAGCACGCCATTGTTGGGTTGACAAAGAACACAGCTTGTGAATTAGGCCGGTATGGGATTAGAGTCAACTGCATTTCTCCATTCGGTGTGGCTACATCCATGCTTGTTAATGCATGGAGAAGCCACGATGATGATGAAGAAGAAGATTCCATCAACTTTGGGATTCCCTGCCAGCAAGAAACGGAGAAGATGGAGGAGTTTGTGAGAGGGCTTGCCAATTTGAAAGGTCCAACTCTGAGGGCTAAAGATATAGCTGAGGCTGCTCTCTATCTTGCTAGTGATGAATCCAAATACGTCAGCGGCCATAATCTTGTTGTGGATGGTGGAGTTACCACCTCAAGGAACTGTGTTGGCTTGTAACAATCTTTTTTTTTTCCCTTTTAGATTCCCCTCAAGTGTAAATTTTCAGTTCTATCAGTTAAAGTCAGCATAGCATTGGCATGATTGCAAGATTTTCCACTTTTCCATGTGTTTTAGGTGTTGAGACAGAGATGCGGTCGCAATCAGGGGAAAGAAGCATAGTTTCAATTGGCAAAATGATTTTTCTTCAAGATTCAAAGTTCAAACTCACAAAGACTCCTACAATTCTAATGTATAGTTTGTTTTCAAGAATAAGATAGGAAAGGTGAATAATCAATAAAGTATGTTAAGTTAGTATCCATCACGAAACCAATTCTATGTCAAGCCTACACCTACATGCATGCTCGGTCAAAAGAGATTGCTTGTGACCTGTCCTTTCTTTTCCTTGTGCGTTTGGTATTGAACCTTGTTGTTATTAATTTAAAGAAAAAGTTTTCAAAATTCCCTGTTCAAAACTGGTCCTTATAATTTTCAATATATAAATAGTTAAAGGGAGCTAGTAGGGCTGTAATTATTCGGAAAATTCCTCCATTGCTATTGTGTTTACATTTTCCGATGGAAACAGGAGATTCATCATCTATATATAGTTGACTTATTCCTTTTAACCCTTCAAACTTATATTTATTCTCTTGGGGGCTATGCTGAGGCTTTGTGTAAGGTAATGTGAAGAAAAGAATGAAAGACATGGTAAACATGAGCCGAGCCAGGCATGCACATGGTCTGATAGGTCTTGGAAAGTCAAGCCAAAGGGGGACTGCATGCAGCCTCTGCAACAGCGATTTATGGGGCGGCCAATTAGAATGGAAAAAGGTGAATTCGATGTGAGGGAGACCCTGATGATGTTTCCATATTTGGGCCAGAGGGGGGAGACCATTAGTTTTCCCACTTGTTTTCCGTCCACTTTATGCATATGTGCATGCCTTCCTCTTCTTCGTATGGTCTTAAACACCATTTGACTAGAGAATGGAGAAGTGATTGCAGCTGAAAGGGACACTGCCCGATGCCTCAGTGTCCTATATATAGTTAGAGAGTTTGGAATTATTATTTTTTTAATATATAAATTCTAGTTCAATGATCCTTTATACCTAGAAAAACAAATTTATAAAGTTAATTATCGTTAATATTCCTCTGTTTAATTAACCTGCTTGTAAAAGATTTTATCAATAGATTCATACCCTTGGATCAGCCTCCAACCTGTTGCGAATTGAGTCCTCTAAATATTAATGTTTCAACTAGAAAAAAGAAAAACCCTTTTCTTTGTAGCTGGCCTGCAGCGTAGAGAATCTAGCTATCTCAGCTAGGCTTTGAAGCTGCCAAAGGTCAAAGTTGAACCATTCCCCCAACCCCAAGCATGAGCTGTAAGATCTCTTTCCTTAATTCAAAAAAGAAAAGCTTAATATTAATAGATTTAGGAGATACTAACAGCTTGTAAAACTATACTCAGATGGGTCAAGGGATACTAGCTTTTGTTTTCTTCTCTTTTTCTTCCTTTCTCTTTCCTCGAAGGGGAATATATAGCCAATGGGTACCACTTCGCACCAATAACAATATGATTAAATGAAAGGGAATTAATAAATCCTAGACAAATCTTCATACTTCTCATGCAGGCTAGGTTGATTAATGATAATATTACATTGTTTTCGTATGTCTAATGGCGGTGTTTGTTAGCATAAATTGCATCTCGATATTGTTTAATCATTTAAATTTTGTCAGGAATTTTTTAATAATTTTCTAAAGATAGGCAAAATAAACAAGTACTTGACAATGTGTTGTCACTAAAGCGACATAAGAGATTTCTAGGATTAAGAGCTTTTAATTTGCAAGGCACAAGCACATAAGCATGGAGAGGGAGACATTTATTTTCTATAAATGGAGAATATGTAAGAAGGGCACGGGCATCTTGATAGGACTCAGAGAGCAGATCATCCCTGGAATGGTATATCAGTGATAATACTGATGATTGTTTCTTCGACCTAATAATCATCGGACAATATCTTGGGCACTGGAGCAGCATGGCACCGTAAGCACATATTTTCTTATGGAAGACAGTCTGGCTCGAGCATAGACACAATCTCCACGAATATTTGGGCAGCTACATTTTTTAATTTATACACGTACACGGAGAGTTGAGGAGGACGTACATGTGATGACTTTCAGTGCTTCGGCATGTGGATGTAAACTCTGAATAATTAAAGAAGGTGGTACCTAGAACGTGCTTCACGCCAAGAGAACTGAAGATTTATGGTTATTTTCATTAGAGGGTTTCAAAGCTTTTGTTTTTTTCTGTAATTTTTAAACAAATGTTCTGAGAAGATGATGTCGGAACCATGGAACTCTTTTCGTGTTTGGTTTTTGTTTTGAATTGCTCGTAACGGTGAGATTCATGTGAATGGTATATAATTTTCACGTGATAGCTCAGGATATTTATGAAATTCATGTAATATAAAATTCCACCTTTTTTTTAAATGGGTCCCATACATAAGGCATTTTTGACAATAATTTTTTTTATAATTTTAACTGTTTTTAGTTAAAAAAAATTAAAATTTAAATAAAATTACCCTTAATAAAAACGATCCATTTATTGACTTCGCGCCTTAACTCGAAATCTATTAACGGATCAAGTATGTTTAGGTCGCATCTCAGATTGACTCATATTCTTTTAACTTTTCTTATCAGACTATTCATTTTTAGAGTATTCTTTACCATAAAGAAAAACGTTTAAGTATTTTTAGCATTTTGAAATATTTTTTGATACACGAAGAAAACTTTTGAATGGTTTGAGCATTTTTAAACATTTTGGAGTGATTTTCGATATATGAAGAAAAACTTTTGAACATTTTGAGTATTCTTTGTCCAGTAGGCATATTTGTTAATTATGTTATTAAATGGAATATGGTGTATCGTTTGAAGTTGTCGATCTTTTTAAATGAAATTAAGTAGTTTTGGTGGTTTTTGAGCATTGCATGACTAGTTTCTAGGTATTGTATGACTGATTTTAAATATTACGTGATTGACTTTGAACATTGTGTGACTAATTTTTAGGTATTGTGTGATTGATTTTGGGCATTGCATGACTGATTGATATGACATTACGTGACTAGTTAGTAAGGCATTGTGTGACTTAGGCATTGCTTAAAAATTAGTCACGTAATACTTAAAAATAAATCACGTAACGCCTATAACTAATTATGTAATGCCTAAAAATTAGTCTTGCAATACTTAAAAGCTAGTCTAATCAATTTCAATTCCTCAAGTTTGGGTTCTATGAATAAACCAATAAATTCAAAAACCTAAAACATATTTTTTTTTGCTAAGCTATGAAATTGTATATTTCATAAAAAAATAGGCTACAAAACTCCATAACCCTCCAAAGTAAGACAAAATATAACCTTATCAGGAGAGCCTTGCTCATTCCCATTATGCAAAACCAAAATATATTCTCTTTACAGAATATTCCTTAAACAATTTCAACTCAAAATCTCATAAAAAATCAAAATTCTCAATAAACATGCTTAACAATCATCCTAATCCTAGACACAGTAAAATCGTGAATCACCATAAAATCCATCAAACATGCTTTAATTGTTTCTTCTCCCTGAGCCTATCATCTTAACCAATCTGATACAACTCATCAACATAAGCATCTCCATCGTAGCACACGTTTCGAAGTAAGTCATCATCAGACAGCATCCAATTACCACATTCATCATGTTGCTTGCAATCACCATAGAATAGCAAAATCGTTATTTATTACCCTTGAGAATCCAAGATCCAACATCTAAAAAAATAAAATAAAATAAGAAAGCGCTTGATGTCATCTTTGCTCTTTGAATGATGAGATAGATAATATTTGAACAGAGAGAGAAATCATGATTTAATTTTGAAATTTTTGTCCGAATGACGAGATAGAGAAAACTGAAATTATTTAATTTATCTAAAATTATTTAAAGGGTATTATTGTCAAGTTAGGTCAAAAATTAGATAAAAATAGTTAAAATTATAAAAAAAATATTTTTTAATTGAGCTTATAAAGAAGGTTATCTTTCACAATTTCTTCATAAACAATTGTAAGAAGCTTTTCAAAAAAAAAACAATTGTAAGAAATTGCAACAGATTTATGTATAAATATATAGTGAACCTTATTTAATTGTTGATTAGATACGTAATTGTTAAAATTTAATTTTTCATATTTAATTAAAGGAAAATAAGACTAACATATACAAAAAAAGCCAGGTTAGCGGACAGAATCCTGGTCTAATTTACAACTGATAATGATCAGCTGCTTTCATTATATATTTTGGTTTGTTTTTTTTATCCATTGTAGATATCTCATCTACAAATTTGGACCATTCTCTGTCTGCGCCTGCATTGATAATTTGTGGAGATTCGATCAAATCTCCTTAGCTTATTAATCATTGGTGATAATTAATGAATAAAATAAATGGATACTTCATCAGTGTTATGTCTTGTCGGATTTTCCTTGTTGGCGAAAGCTTAGATGGGTGTGGAGACCTGAGAACATGCAAGCTGGTACTAGATTTAATGGTGAGACCGACAGATGAGGATCCTTTACCTATTTACCAGGTTTAAGCCAAGTTACCTGGAAAGGTCTCTCTCCAATAGCGAACAGCTCACGTATGCACGAAACCCCACCAATTAAGATCCCTCCCTCCCCTAATTTGCCTATAAATCTTTTCATTTACCCATTCTCTGCCTGCAAGCCTCTTCAGCAGCAGCTGGACATTCTCTGCTTCTCTCTCCCTTCCTTACTCCCTGCCCTGCTTCCAATCATGCCGGCTCAATTGATGCCTGAGAAAACGCTTCAAGGCCTCCATGTCTTGGCTAGGGACAACAATCCTCCCTCCTCTAAAAGGTGTTCATAATTAACTGCTTCAAATTTGTTCGCATTTCCTTGTTAGCTGTTGCTTCTGTTCTTGTTTTGTTATATATGAAACGCTAGGCACTGGCTACTTAATCAGACAAATATGCTTGAAACTGGAATCCTAAGAACTCATAATCAACAGTACGTATTATCGAAAGCTTGTTCGTTTTCCTAGGATTCACTCACAGCCCTGGCTATAGAGATGCAGTTCCAACCTTTCCGGTTGAAACTTTGGTGAGAAGATCAGCTTTCGGTGGCAGCTAATAAAATATTCAGCATCAGGCCTTTTTTTAAATGTAGTTACAGTCTCAATAGTGAGCCACATGCTACAATATAAAAAGTCAGATTAGTGTCTATATCTTGGATGTTCAAACCTATGCAAAGACCCTAGCCGGTTTTATTGCAAATATTAGTGTATACTTTTCTATTCTACTGTTTGTTTTATTTAATTTACTTCCCGGAAACACTGCCAAAGCATGGCACTCATCTCAATCTGTTCTTATAATTGTATAGGCTGGAGGGAAAAATTGCAATTGTCACAGGCGGGGCCAGAGGAATTGGGGAGGCAACAGTCAGGCTTTTCGCTAGACATGGTGCAAAGGTAGTCATTGCAGATGTTGAGGACAAGGCTGGAACTGCGCTTGCTGACTCCTTAGCTCCTTGTGTTACTTTTGTTTATTGTGATGTTAGCTTGGAAGGAGACATCGAAAACTTAATTGACTCGATTATTTTACGTTATGGACGGATTGATATTCTTTTTAACAATGCCGGGGTGCTCGGAGATCAGAAAAAGCACAAGAGCATTGTTGATTTCGACATCGATGAGTTTGATAGTGTTATGCGGGTGAACGTGAGAGGGGTGGCGCTAGGAATGAAGCATGCGGCGAGAGTGATGATTCCCAGAGGAGGTGGGTGCATTATTTCAACGGCTAGCGTAGCCGGAGTCATGGGAGGGCTCGGTCCGCATGCGTACACAGCTTCGAAGCACGCCATTGTCGGGCTCACAAAGAACACAGCTTGTGAGCTAGGCCGGTATGGGATCAGAGTTAATTGCATTTCTCCATTTGGGGTGGCTACGTCCATGCTTGTTAATGCATGGAGGAGCAGTGCTGCCAGTGATGAAGAAGAGGAGGGGGAATGCATGAATTGGGGGAGTCCATTTGAGCAGGAAGTGGAGAAGATGGAGGAGTTTGTGAGAGAGCTCGCCAGTCTGAAAGGTCCAACTCTGAGGGCAAAAGACATAGCAGAGGCTGCTCTATACCTTGCTAGTGATGAATCCAAGTATGTGAGTGGTCATAACCTTGTTGTGGATGGAGGAGTTACCACATCAAGAAATTGCGTTGGCCTGTAATAACAATAGATTCACCATCCTATTGTATTGCTTTCAGTTTTCAACTCATTTGCGGCTTAGCATGTTCATATCAATGGCCTATCTGTTCTTGACATTTTTCAAGCAATCAAAATCAATTGGCGTGAAAAGAAATTACACTAGATAACCATTAACTTTTAATGATTAAGTGATCCAAATATCAATTTTTAAAACTATCAATAATCAAAACTTGACTTTTTTTAAAAAAAAATTAAATGGTCAAAATAAAAATTCTTAAAAAATTAAATAATTTATTCAATCTTTTGAAGATGACGTAAATGAAAAGTGAATACTAAAAAAGAATCGTCACAAAAGGGAAAATCCCTATTTAAAGTTTGAACTTTGAACAAGCAAAGCCAAAGAAAATCTGATTACAACCTAACCTCTGCACGAAATCGAAAGTCCATCTTCTGGTACATATACAAGTCAAAAGAGGTTGCTTATGTATTATACATGATTGATTAATATAGTTTTAAGGATAGCGACCTTTCCAATTTCGAATGGGGCCTTTTTGGTTATGCGTTTGGAACAAGTCAACCATAATTTCTTATTGTTCTTCATGGAATGCAAGGAAGAATATTAATCTATATATATAACAATCATCCCCATGACTATTTTAATCTTAAAAGAAATAAATTTTACAAAATTATTACTCTGTCTTTCTAAAAAATTAATTAGATACGATATGTAATATTTATGTTTATAAGTATTTTAGAATCTTTTACTTGTTCAATGTAGGATTAATATATTATATTTATTTTTTTTTAACGTGTTTGATAGTAACATAAATTTTTTAAGTGAGATAAAAAAGAAAAGAAAAGAAAAGAAAAGAAGAATAAGGCAGCTAGAAGTATACTAGCTTACTGTCTTATTCCTTATTCCAAATGAGGAGGAGCATTGGAGTGATAAAAAGGAGATTGGTGTTGGATAGCTGTCCTAGTCTTGAATTCCTGGTGGAGAACTGCAATTGAAATATGGGATCGAAGGGCTGTAGATCTGACCAATGTTTGTCTACAAATACAAAGTCAAACCAAGGACACATTGGAAAAGGTTAAAGTCTAAAGAGGGAGTCGTGCAAGACAGGAAAACTCAAGGCAAAGAGGCTTGCGGTTCTTTTAACTTGACAATTAATAAAAGATTCGTTTGTCAACCGAAAGCAACCCAATTTCCATAGATGGTAGATTCTTAATTGAGTTGAACATTACTATATTAATTCTTCTCCCACAAACCGCTGCTACAAAACTGCTTTACACCCCATTGGACATGGTTATTCATATTTGAAGTGACACAGATCTTTGGGGTCCTTCTGTTTTTATGTGGAAAATACGTGAATGGTCCATGTATGAATTCTTTGCATTTTCTTAGATTAGACTCTGTATGTAAACAAATTGCTCTTCGAAATAGGTCAGCTGATAGGGAAAAAGAATAAAAAGAAATCCTCAACGAATTATTATTATAAAGCATTAATCTTACATTGAACAAGATTATCATGAATTTGTGACTCAAGCTTTGGTAGCTGATTCAAGTCCACACGAGAGATACGTGCAACGTATTATATTAATTTATTTGCTAATTGTATCTCAAGAAATCCTTTTTCAATTAATAAGTTGGCTCACGTGCAATCCCATTGCATAGAATTTAGATTTATGAATGAAGACAGTGTCTTTACAGCTAATAATTATAACTGTCAGTAAAGGGGTAATCACGTTTGTTGAAAATAAACGGTCATGTCTGTTGAAAAATCAATGTTTATGATTGTTGAATGTAGGTAATTGTGTCTGTTTAGAATAGACAAAATTATGTTAGTTGGAAATAGTTACCTATATTTATAAATACTTGTCTTTAGTTCAAAAGAACATGTGTAAACAATAGACAACAATTTCTCATTCTTTTCTTAATATGCTTCATATCCTTTGCGCATCATTTTACTATATAACAATGAATGCTCAGTAGATTAATTTTGTTAATGCAAAATGTAAGATTTGGTTGTGATAAGTGAAGCAATTTTAGCAAGAGCGTACAGTCGAATGTATAATGAAAAATTTAAACGTATTAGATTGAGACATTGCTATATCCAACAATTAATTTTTGATTAAGTGATTACTATAACTTTTGTAAGATCTAGTGAAAGCTTAAGACTTTTCATTAAATAATGGATTAGTTATCAAAGATCTTGTAAATAAGACCTTAAAGGGGATGAGGTGCAAACTCATCAATTAAAAGTCACTCATGATGGAATCGTAACTTAATGTCTTGTATAACGTTAAGTCTTGAGTTCAATGAGACAAAATATATAATTTGTATGTGGTTGCTAATACTATGATATGATATATATATATATATATATATAATATTGCATCCCAAGTAAAGTGTTAACATAAATTTGTTAGAATGCTTTAGTTATGGAGATATTCTTTATGGATCTATCTAGGTGAGTATGAAGTGTGGCTGCTTCTAGGAGTTTAAGAGCTTGGTTCTAATAGCACTCATGAAAGAGATGTTGGCACGTAACTATAAAAGTATCATCGGACATTGTGCATTCATTAATACTGAAATCATAAACCAAATGGAATAACTAGTTCAAAGTATAATCTATCATGCAATTTTGATTAACTTTAACACGTTTTCACTAAGTTAAGGTTCAAAGAGAAAATATTTTTATTTATTTTAATCGATTTTCAAGATTATTGAGAATGTGGATTATTTTAAAAATGATTGGAGACTATTGGATATTTCAATAATAATAAATGTGAGACACAATCTCATATTGAAAAAAATAAAAGAAAGAAAAAGTTCTTTAAATAAAAAGGAGAATGAATTCATAGTAATTGGATTAACGTGGTTCAAAGTGCAAAACGGATTGAGATTTTCAAGCTTAATAATGTTATAATTGACACTTGGTGTACTGAGACACTAATTAAATATAGGCAATAATTATGATTGCAATTAAATATAATGAATAATTATGATTGCTAGAAATAAATGTCCAATAATTATATTGTAATTAAATTGAACGAATAATTATGATTGTTAGAATTTAGAAATAAATAGTCATGTATGTGATAACCAAAAGATATGACTGTTGGATGCTTGTGATATATCCTTATGTCCATTGGGAAACACCTAGTCTTGTAACTCTCTTCTTTAAACAAACAGATTGCATCTGTGTTCAAACAACCTGCTCAATGCTTGAGAAAACGCTTCAAGGCCTCTATGTCTAGGCTAGGGACAACAATCCTCCATCTTTTAAAAGTTGTTCATAATTAACTACTTCAAATTTTTTCGCATTTCCTTGTTAGTTAATGCTTATGTTCTTGTTTTGTTATATATGAAACGCTAGGCGCTGGCTACTTGATTAGACAAATATGCTTGAAACTCGAATCCTGAGAAACAAATAATCAACAGTATGTATTATCAAAAGCATGTTTGTTTTCTTAGGATTCACTCACAGCTCTGGCTGTAGTGATGTAGTTCCAACCTTTTCGGTTGAACCTTTGGCGAGAAGATTAGCTTTCAATGCAACTAATAAAATATTCAACATCATGCTTTTTTTTTATGTATTTACAGTCTCAATTGTGAGCCACATGCTACAATATAAAAGGTTAGATTAACGTCTATATCTTGGATGTTGAAACCTATGCAAAGACCTTAGTTGGTTGTATTGCAAATATTAGTATATACTTTTTAATTCTATTGTTTGTTTTATGTAATTTACTTCTCGGAAACACTGCCAAAGCATGGCACTCATCTAAATCTGTTCATATAATTGTATAGGCTAGAGGGAAAAATTGCAATTGTTGTTGTTTCTTTTTTTAAAAGTAGGATCAACACAACATATTAAAGATCAAGTGTGAAGAACAGAGCAAGAGAATGTAATTTTTCATAACAATAGGCTTCTTCTTTTGATATGCATTGACTTAGAACATGTACATACCAAAAACTTAACAAACAAGCTTTGAACAATAGTTAGACACAATATTAAATGCTAATCATCACATAAGTCATTCACTAGATACATAGCTATCATAATTTGACTAAAGGCTAGTTGTCCTAATACAAAATAATCACATATAGTCCTAAGGTTAATAGCATAAACTGATGTGGTTTTCAATGCAAGTCCTATTTCAACAATTGTCACAAGCGGGGCCAGAGGAATTGGGGAGGCAACAGTCAGGCTTTTCTCTAACATGGTGCAAAGGTAGTCATTGCAAATGTTGAGGACAAGGCTGGAACTGCGCTTGTTGACTCTTTAGCTTCTTAGGTTACTTTTGTTCATTGTGATGTTAGCTTGGAAGGAGACATTGAAAACTTAATTGACTCAACGATTTCACGTTATGGGTAGATTGATATTCTTTTTAACA